ACCAACCTCGGGCCGTTGAAAGCAGCTCATAAGACAAGACTTTTCACTGTGGCAAACTGGCTCAGAGCTGCTGGCCACGTGAGCCGCTCCGCCCACGTCCTTGGCAATGCTCCCACGATTCCTGCGCCGGAGGCGACTAACACGATCGCTTGGTCTCGCTCTTTTCCTCATGGACACCCAAATCAATAAACCAAAGTTCTCCTCAAGCACTAGTGTGAGTAAACTTTCGAACATAGGAACGGCTTGCCAACAAGGTTTGAACCCTGTCGTCAGCGTGCTCGGCTCCAGCATTTCCTGCACAGTGCCGCATGGCACCAACACGCTACGAATGCAAGAAGTGAGCCCAGCAAATGCCAAGGAGAGCATTTGTCCTGCCTCAGCAGCTTCCAACCGAGGGTCATCGGTGATGGTAAAGCTGAGGATTTCACTGCCGATGGAAAGCACAACCACTAATAGGTCCAAAGGATAGAATAGAACCTCCACAGGTCTCGACCCTAACCCCGTGTGCATTTGGAAGCACAAAAGAAAGAGACTTCTGCGACCAAGACCTTGGCAAAGTTGCGCCCAAAGGCTACCATCTTCAGCGTGTTCTCCACTAGGAAAATGCCGAGGATCACAATGGATGTGTAACCAAGAATGTGCTCTGCTTGCTCCAGATGCTCCGCCACAACGTGGTGCGGATGGTCCACGACACATCGCGAATCGAATGCTGAAGTATTTGAGAAAAACAACTGGAGACAGTCGGTCTTTGAGAGACTCTCCTTGGAAGGAAGCTTTCAAAACCAGCACCAGCCAAGTACAGACCCCCTGCTTTGAGATTTCCTGCCGACCAGCTTCCAATGCAAACACTTCCATCTGCATTTGCAGCGTTGCCATGACGAGCAGCGCATCGAGCACAATGAGGCCACCTGAGCTGAGATGACTAGCCTAGCTGCTAGCTCTGAAGGTTTGAATTCATCTGGCAGCTGCGTCATAAATGAGAGGAAAGCCGCTTATGCAGTAGTGCACGTGCCTCGGTGCAGAAAAAGATGAGAGCATAAAGCAAAATGCTGCACATTTGTTGCATTGAACGTCCGCCAAGAGACTTCCAGTGCAAGAAGACCACGATCTTCCCCCGCCAGCCCATCTTCTTCCAGTCATGGTGGTGCTGGGGAAGAGGGTGTCGGCCCTCCGGAGAGGCCTTCGTCGAAGGCATGTCAACATAAACACGAGCCACAATGTCAACATTCTGCCGGCTCAAGGCTTCGAACTTCTGTCCGGCAACGTGGGTCAAAACAATGCCAGCAGCGGTGCTGCCTCTCCGCTGGGCGCCCTCGCAGTAACCTTCCCAACTCGAAACTGGCACTGAACATGAACCTCCACAGCTTGAATCGACCTTCTTATCTTGGCTGGACCTCTCGATTCAGCTGGGAAGGCATACCGAAATGCGGTCGGCCTCTCCGGCCAATTTGAGTGAGATCAGCAGCTGCCTGAAAAAATCCGAAACACCGTCTTGCCGACAGCTCCTGACATGTCCTGCTTTGCCCATCCGGGTTGCTGCACTCTGGCGTTCGCATCCTGGAATCGGTGCTTCTCGGCGAGCTCAGGGTCGCGGCCCATTCTCACCGGTACGCTTCTCCATGTCAGTCACCCAAGCACGGCCTAACTGATCTCCTGCTACATGCTGCTTGTGCAAAATGCCAGCAGAAGAAGCACCTTCGAGGTGTCATGTCGACTCTAGAAGCAGAGATCCTCCTAAGCTCCTGGCACAAGTGGGCTCATGATGACCTTGGTTAGAAGCACTCCCAATGGCGGCGACAGCAATGTACAAGAACAGCAGCCTGTTCTCGACGGAAATCTCGCCATGCTTAGTTTCTGCCCGCAGCAATGGCGACTGGGTGCCGAACAAGACCGTCTTGGGACAGCAAAGAACGATCACACATGAAGTTCTTGGATTTCAAGAAGTCGAGCGTCGCACCCAGCCTCGCCAAAAGCAGGGCGAAGTGCTGCTACCCTGGGCACAGCTAAAGGAAAACGTGCCAGGCCTGAGGCCGTCCGAGTGCTCCTTCTGGAATGGAAAACCTTTCTCATGCCATGCTCAGCTGCTGAGCGGCGGCTATGCACGAGGCCCAACTTAATTGATTGCAAACCAGTCACAGCGCGGCGGGCGACACCAAAAAGACTCCACGTCTCCACAATGCGCTGCCTGCCAAGCACTTTTCACACGTCTGACCAAATCGATCGAAGAATCAAGATAGCTCCTGCTGCTTCATGGCGTCGGACAGCCCAGGACCCCCAAAATCAGGAGGTCGCACCTGCAGGTTGTGCATTTGTCGGTTATAGGCTTACGGTAAAACCTTCCCCCTACATCCTAAACCTTAACCGTAGATCCAACTTGCCGATTTTTGCAGCAACTCGGCTTCGTACTGCACATAAGGTGCTCTGGCCCCGTGCAGCCCGGATCATCTCTGCAAACACTACCTGTCACATGCTAGCAGCGAGCAGTTCTCGTCGCAAAGCATGGACTCCACAAGCTGGCCTCACAGATCCACTTTGCATGAAGCAGGTTTGCCACACGCAGGTTCACCTTGCTTGAAATCGTGCTGGGATTCAGAAATGCCTCCGACGATCGAAAAGAACAAACATCACACAGAGGCAACGAAGGTGGGTAGCTCGTTGCGTCCGAGGAGCAGAGACGCACTCGCCTCGCCTAGATCGCGGACATGAAAGAACATGCTACATCACAAACCTCGCTAGGCGAAGCATTGCAGCTGCGGCGCACAGGAGTGACAGAGTGCCAATGGCCGGGGGGAATGTACCTTCGTCCGATCTGAAAGTTGTCTTGTGGTGCGGCCAAGTTGCACTCTATGTTTATGCCAAAGCACAACACTGATCCTGGACGGAGATTGTAGCACGATCTGTCCAAGGGTCCTGTGCGTGAGAGTTCTTCGAACCGAAACACAAGCACGAAGCCCGAGTCGCAAACCTGTGCCCGGGATGGGGATGCTCTGATCCATGAAGTTCCTGAGCGTGATGCTCTGGCTGTTTGGCTGATCTCTGTCTGTGTCGTAATGAAACCACAATCAGTGCCGCTGATATTCATCGGCATGTCTCGCATGCCTCTAGCAGCACCGAACGTGTGGGGATTGCCTGCGGTCAACAAACAAATTACAAGCTCGTTCGGGCATGCTGCAAGAACACTGCCATGCAACATAATCGCAGGTGCCTTCGGCGCAGTACCAATCTTTTTCTCCCAAAATCTGTATCGTCAGATTGTGATTCCTTTGACAGTGTGTGCGCCACAGAGCTAGCAGAACCACAAATCAAGGTAGGGAAGCCAAGCTGCGGGTCGAAATGCCACTGGGCCTCGGCTGACTGGCTGACACTCCAACGGTAGCAAACCCTTATGTACATGCACACCCCTCTCACTCACCATCAACAGACAACTCTCGTTACCTTCTTCTCCTTCGTCACTACCGTCACCAACACCACGATCATCACCTGTTACTCACAATCATCACTGCACCGCCCAAATCATCGTCTTCATCGCAATCGTAACTACCGTCATCGTCGGCACTATCATCATAACATTTTCCTTCGTCTTCTTCACCATAGTTTTCGTCTTTATCTCTGTGGCGATGAGAAATCGCGCCGCAACTGGTGTGAAATGGTGTTGGTGAGATCTGAAAACGATGGTGCCACTAACAAAGCGGTGATGATGATCCTGTGATGGTAGGGTTGCTGGCCGTGCCGGTGCTTGTGCGAAGCAACAGTCAAAGTCAAGACACCGGCTCGCATCCGAGCCGCGAGAAGTACATGCCAACTTCAATGTCGTTGCCGAACCTAAGTGGCCGTCACTAAGGGTAGAAGCTAATTTGGTGGCCAGTGCACAACCTCGCTCGTCTGATGACGGCAAGTGGCCCAGAGCATGCGTGGATAAAGGCACGCTTGATGTCGATGGCCCCTGGCCTGCATAGGTTGCAGACTCCGGCATTCAATGTATGGTTGGTCTGCCTCAATTAGACTCGGTTGCGCCAGGTGGCGTGAAGCAGAACGGCAAGATCACACTCCTGCGTGCTTGTGTCTCGCAAACGTCAGCCTGACGAATGGAAGCAGCTGGCCTTCGCTGCTCCAGATCCGCCTGGAACCCTTCCAACTCCACTTCAGTGAACTGGACATTGTCTTCCTGCACATGGAAAGATGGATAGAGCCCAGTGGACCCATGCTTCCCCGTCTCCGCACATCTTCGCAGCCACTGCTAGGCTGCTAGACATCCCTCGCTTGGTCCTTCCTGCAGTCTGCGACCTTGGCGCACATGCCCAGCCCAAAGGTCACTTGAACTTTGCAAGCTTGGCCCACGAGCAAGACCGACATCATGTTGCAAATGAGCTGCACATTCGGACAGGTTTCCGTCGTGAAAGCCCACGCTGAGGATCGTCAGGAGATCCTGGGACGAGCACATGCCACTAAGTATTGTCACTTCATCTTGGATGCGGGGGCCTGGCCTCGCACAGGGAAGTTGAAAAGACCTTCCTTAGGAAGGGTGAGCAAGCACGCGTCCCTGGAGCAGCCTCAAAGCATTGTGGCCCTGGTCAGCCAAGCCTCTGTCCCCAGAACTCCTCCAAGAATCTGGCCGTGGAAAGAGGCGGGATCAGATCAGAGAACTCCAGCCTCGGGCGGCATGTGCTCTCCGGGGAGTTAGAGAGGGCTGGCAGAAGCGCAACTTGGACAAGAAAGCAATCCGTCTGATGTGTGCAGCTTGGCTGCTCGAAGCCTTCCTCGCTGGCAGCCGCCGCGCTGGCAGGCGCCATGGCTTTGCCCGTTCTTGCGAAGCGGCACTCTTACATCCAGCATGACATGTATCTGACACATCCCTCTTGGCTATCGTGTCGGCCATGGTGAAGTGTGAATCACAGGGTGTGTTCGAAGGCAACCCGGAAGAGCGCCTAATGGGAGCCGCAAAAAATCGGCAAGAAGGCGTTTTTGTTGCAAGTCCCAAATGTTGGCATTGCTGAACGCTCCTTGGCTGGCTCTTCAACTCGACTGAAGAGTGCCTGCTGCTCAAGTGCGCCCCGTCGAACATGCAAAAGCATCCACGACAGTCAAGTGAGCAGACAGGAAGACGAACAAGCCTGGAGCAAAGCCACAGACTCAGAAGAGCTTGGATCCTCGGTTTGATGACTCTGCGTGACGGCTCCTGCCGCTGCCGATAAGTTCGCTAACCTCCTACTCTATTCCGAACAACTTCTCGACGGAAGCAGCAGGGCACAGCCACAGCCTCCGATGGTAGGACAGCAAGGGACCCATCCGCTCAGTCGCATGCTTCGAGAGCACTCAAAACGCGCTGGACCTGGGAAGCCAAGTTCACACATACTGATCAAAGCAGTCGCCTTACATATGTATATATATACACACACACATACTCGTACGACAAAGGGCACGCAGTTCCCGACATGGCGCTTCGAACATGAACATTTTAAGACAAGTCCGAGGCCTGCGGATCGAAGGCGCCTGAAGGTAGCAGGCCGGATCGGTTCAGCCTGAGGACATGCTGAGCCCGTGCTTCTTTGCCAACGCAACTTCTTGAAATCTTGGGCTCGGGCAGGTGGTCTGCGGTGAACCGAGCCTTCCAAGTAGATGAAAGATGAAGGCAAAGTCTCAAGCAGGAACGTAAGTTGGCTTGCTGCTGCCGGCTGCTGCTCAATGTCCTTCTGTGCCACATGTGGTGCCACAGGCACAGACTTGGCCGGTGCGTGCTCTCTCTCACTCCTGCCGTTCTACTAAACCTGTGATGTATGCATGCCGCTATCATACTGAACATGCTGCCCACGCTAGTTTGCCGCATCATTGGCAGTCACGTACGGAATGATGCGAACAGCCGTTGAAAGTTGCTACCCTCCGATGGTTGAAGGGTATTGCTGCCGCATCGCAGTGCCACACATGCGAGACGGCACGGCTGCATCTGGCCTCCGGGTCTTCCTGCAACAACGACGCCAAGATTTTTGCCGCCTCCGGTGGCGCCTGTCGCAGCAACGTTGGAATGTGGATTCGAAGTTTGCCGCAGAGTGCCAAACTCTTGCTGTTCAAGCCTCGGGTAGTCGCTCCTGCACCTTCTGCAGGAACTCCTTGGGCAGGTTCGCCAGGTCCTTGATAGCCTCTGAGGAGAGAGTGGTCGGCAGCACCAGCTTGCCAAGCCTCAAGGCCCGTGTGGCTCCAACGCTCCGAATTTCCGTGTGCGCCATACTCCGTACTATCACCATGCACGATACTGTAAGGCTGGCACACATCCACTCGTTCCATAGCCTTGCGGACAGTCTTGCCCAGGTCACGCGCTCTCACCGAGTCTCGGCCAAGGAGCAGTAGCAAAAGGAGGCCGCCACATTTCGAAGAATACAACGCCCATGGCGAACCTGGAAAAGCAACACAAGAGGCCATGTCCATACATCCAATATGTAGCCTGCCGAGTGCACTCTGTGCACTTCATTGCATGTGCGAATCCCATCCCTGAATCATGCAAGTCACTGTCGAGGCAGTGAGCAGCCAGCTTGGACTATCCTGCTCGTTTTGCCGCACATGCCGGCTCGTCGCAGCTCGGAGGCTAAGACGTTACTGCTTTATTGTTCACATGTGCATGTATCTCGACTGCAGATGCTCTACTGGATGGTGCCAGCCGAGGCCTGAGTGGGAAAGGAAACGGATGTTTTTCAGGAGTAACATGGTGCCTCGAAGGTGTCGATGGTGACATGTTGTAAGATATTCCGACTCACTGTCAGCTTCGTCCCTTCTTGGTCTTCTGGAGCTCTTGCCTTGGCTTCGCGCAGAGGCTAGAAAACATGCCTCCTGCATGTGCTTCATTGGGGTCATTGTGCTCTCTGCAGATCAGCGGCGCCATCATCCTGCAGGCCTCAAACACGATTGAAGCGTTAAAGTTCCATCTTCCGATATGGACAGCATCGGGCCTTGGGACCTTCCTTGGCAGAGTCATTGAACTTGCGGCAATCCTGTGCTTGGATACAGCTTCGTAGTCAAATTCCACTTCCAGAGCTCGAGTATACGGGATATGAAACACACCGCAGACAAAGCATCTAAGCATTGTGTTCACATATGCGCATAGCATGCTTAGCTTCCGTGCATAGCAAAACACTGATGTTCGCTGGTGGGTTGGCCGGCTGGCTTGCTAGCTAGTCAGTCTGCTATGTGGTCGTTAGTTTGTTGGTTGGTTAGCTGGTTAGTTAGTTCGTTACTTGGGTAGCTCGTTAGCCTAGTGACTTTGCTACTTGCTTACATATTTGCTTGCCTACCTACTGCCTTACTTGCCGACTGAGTGACTGACTGAGATAGCTAGTTATCTGCTTGTCTGCGTGCCTATGTCTTACGCTCAGCTACTTGGCCGGTTCGTCTCGGATATATCTTTGCGTTCTCCTCCTCCGCCTCATCTCGCGACTGCCGCGAGGGGCCCCGGCAGGCGATTGTCCGCACATTCCCCGAATGGTTGATGGCCTCGGCAGGGAAGAACAGAGAATCCTAAGCAACTAGAAACGAATAACATGCAGACATTCCAAGATAATCCACAAAAAAAATCTACTACGGTAGTCTTCAAGAAGCCTCCGGTCTATAGATGTGTTTACGGGCGTTGCACGCGATCTTTGGAACCACAGAGCAGACGCTGCTGCTCAGCTCTGGAGCTCAGGTTCCGCATGTTTGTAGGTTGTTACAATTGTTGTGCTCGGAGAACCGGAAACACACACACACACACACACACAGCTGCATGCACACACGAGCCATGACTGGGGCCCTCCAGAATGTGAGCCATGTTGTCAAAACAAAGCTCTTGGGTCAGTGCATCTGCGCCCTCGCGTGCAACCAAAATCTCTGCCTGATATGTCTTCTCACCTCAGCTTCACGCGTAGACAGCCCGGAGAAATGATTGCCAGCTCTTGCATGCACAATGTGCCTGGTGGCAGCCAAGATGCCAGTGTTCAGTGGCGCACCATCCACTATCCGAGCTTTGCCTAGCTCCGGAGGATCCTAAGACAGTGAATGGACAAAGGCATCATTTTCGGTGCCACCACCAATCGAGCCCAAAAACACAAATCACAAATTCATCAAATTGCTGCCTCCTGCATAGCTAAGATTGATCCCAAGGATCTGCGGGCGCAGGCTTGGCGTTTGCTCTCTTTGGAGGCGACCTGGAATTTCGAAAGGTATGCGGGGGAGCCGAAGCTAGTTCCGAATCGCTGTCTTCGAAGCGCCTTGGCGGCGACGCCCTTCTTTCTCGCCTCCTAGCACTGGCTCACAAGCAGCGCTACTGGGGTTCCTTCCATGATTCAAGGGTGCAGACGGGTTCCCGAGTTGCAGCGGAGACAAACATGCGAAATCGGTAATGCTCGTGGGCTGCCGGCATTCCGCAATGATGATGATGATGGATACTGATGGTGATGATTACGATGATGACAGTAGGAGCGGCGAGAACGACAAGGACAACAGCTGCTGAATCTGCTTCTGCTTCTAGCTCTGCTGTGACTGCTGTTGCTCCTCCTCCCGTCCTCCTGCACCAGCTCCTCAACCTGCTGCTGCAACTTCTACCACCACCACCACTACACCACCGCCAAGGCGTCACCGCTACCACTACTACTACCACCACCACCACGACTACCACGACTACTACTACTACTACTACTACTACTACTACTACGATGACAACCACCACCACCACGAGAACCAGCACCAGCACAAACCACCACGAGGACCAGCACCAACACCAGCACTGCTACTACTACTACTACTACCACCACCACCACCACCACCACCATAAGAACTAGCACCGGCACAAGCACTACTACTACTCCTACCACCACTACCACCTCCACGACGAGAACTAGCACCAGTACTACTACTGCTACTACTACTACGCAGCCTCAAGCGCCCTAACTGCGACAGTTGCATGCTCCCTATCTGTGACAGCTGCAGACGTTGCGGAGGCTCAATTTCCATGACTGTCACAGCCGGTGAAGTTGCACGGGCACAGGCTCCTACCCCAAAACCGACAGCAGCTGGAGTTGCAAACTTGACGGGGAAGAAACTGCTAAACCACAGGTGGTCGGATAGTACGAAGATGCTATAAATACCGTGCAAAACGCAGGTGCTGCCAAGATGATTTTAATTTTAACACTCCTAAAACCTGAAGCCCAACATCTTCTAAACATCAAAAACCCCTAAAGCCCAGACCTCGGAGGGCTTCTTGTTGGCGTGGCGTGTGGTGTCTGGGCACTAGGGTGTGGAGATATTGTTCGGGGTGTCCGCGAAACAGCCCTCCAAAATCCCAAGCTCGAGTTCGCAACGTCCAGAAGCAGGTTTGGCGACTATACAAAATGGTCCGACATCACGAAAGTACTGTAAATACTGAGAAAAACGGCTCTTCTGGAGATGTTGTTCGAGGTGTCTGCGTAACACTGTCATCATCCCCCCCTCCCCCCCACCCCACCCAAAAAGGAAGTCCAAAATCCGAAGCTCGAGTTTGCAAACTCGACAAGTCGATGTTGAGGCTTCATAGGATGATCCTATATGACGAAAGCGCTGTAAATACCAAGTAATTTGCAGCTTGTCTTAAAATGGCTAAGAGCAAGTGTAGTTGGTAGGGGGTTACTACTACTACTACTACTACTACTACTACTACTGCAGCTCCTACTACTACTGCAGCTCCTACTACTACTACTACTGCTATTACTACTACTACTACTGCTACTGCCACTACTACTACTACTACTACTACCTACTACTACTACTACTACTACTACTACTACTACTACTACTACTACTACTACTACTACTACTACTACTACTACTACTACTACTACTACTACTACTACTACTACTACTACTACTACTACTACTACTACTACTACTACTACTACTACTACTACTACTACTACTACTACTACTACTACTACTACTACTACTACTACTACTACTACTACTACTACTACTACTACTACTACTACTACTCGCACTACTGGTCCTGCTTCTGCTTCTGCTCCAGCTCCTGTTCCTGCTCCTACTGCCACTGTCGCTGCTACTGCCACTGCTGCGGCTGCTACTACAAGTACTACCAGCACCACCACCACCACCACCACTACGACCACGACCGCGACAACGACCGACGGCGACGACTACTACTGAGAAGCAGTAGCAGCAGCAAGAGCAACAATCACAACAGCATAAGCAATGCTACAACCGCAAGACCAAGGCCAACGCCAGCACCAGCGGTAACTACCGTGTGCAGCAACAGCGGTGCAGCTGCTACGGCAGCCAGCAGCCAGTCAGAGCCAAACCAAGAGCAAAAACAAGAACAAGAGAAACACCAGCAACAACCAACAGTGCCGTCCCTACACAAATAGAAGCACCTTGTGACGCCTTTCTGCGGCTCCTTGGGCTGGGCCTCGAAGAGGACCGCCGACGGAAGGACGGGGACCGTCGCCTTTCCCGGGAGCGCGAAGCCGAGGCGTGCCTGCAGACAAGGCAAAAGTAAGAGGAAGCTCCGGCGAAGATCTCTGTGAGTGTATACAGCACATGTCTGAGACTGAGAGGGAGAACGAGAGAGGGAGAGAGAGAGAGAGAGAGACAGAGAGCGAAAGAGAGACAGGAAAGAAGACAAAGTACAAATCTGCCTGGCTATCTCCCTATGGATGTAACTACCTGCATATACACGCAAATGCAACGGAATATGGTCTCGAGAATCTCATGTTCACGGCGTACCTGCGTGTGCATGGTGCCGTACAGATTATTGTATGCATAGTAAGCTTCTTTTGTTGGATTCTCTGGTCATGCCAAACATGTACAGAAAATGCGAATGCCTGACCGACTTCGGTCACGCATGAGGTGCAAATGTATGGGGAATCGATCTGTGCATGCTTGTTGGCTGTTTTTTGTTATCAGTATAACTACGCCTGTCCGTCCGCTTAGGCCTGTTCACGGTATTGATCAGCAACTGCTTTTGTAAAGTTTGAGCTCAGAGCGAAAATTCGGAACCACCCTCTGGACTGCAATCTGAATCTTAATTATCTACCTACTCATGCCCGTATGGTCCGCTAGCTCTTGACGCAATGGTGCTTGTCACTTGTCAGCATGCACTTAGACTTTGAAGCTCGTCTGAAAACCTCGCCGGTGAAAGAGGGCTTTGCTGCACACCTCCGTCCAGATCTCGACCGCCTGCGAGACCTAGGAGACCTCGAAGAGCTCCGAGGCATGTGCCAACGAGCCTCGAACGACACCAACAGGATGAGGGTCATGATGAATAGGGAATAGGGCAGCTTGAAGTATGGAAACCAGGATCAGCATAGCCGTGGTAGCCATCGTAGTCGTAGTGCCATCGCAATAGTGTAAGTCGTCGCAGCAGCAGTAGTAGTTGCAGACATAGAAATAGTCGTAGTTGTTGTTGGTTGTGGGAGTAAGAGTACGAATCGGCATAGGGGCAGGAGCACGACTAGGGTTAGGGGTAGGGCTTGTATGTCGTCGTCGTAGTCGTTGTTTGTGGTCGTCGTCGTAAAGAAACAGAAGTAGTAGAAGTGGTGGTGGTAGTAATAGTCGTAGTAGTGGCAGTAGTAGTAGTAGTAGTAGTAGTAGCAGCAGCAGCAGTAGTAGTAGTAGTAGTCGTAGTAGTAGTAGTAGTAGTACTAGTAGTAGTAGTAGTAGTAGTAGCAGTAGTAGTAGTAGTAGAAGTAGCAGTAGCAGTAGCAGTAGCGGCAGTAGCAGCAGCAGCGGCAGTAGTAGTAGTCGCAGTAGGAGTAGTGGTAGTAGTCGTCGTCCTAGTGTTATCAGTAGTAGTAATACTAGTAGTGGTAGTAGTAGCCGCAGCGGTAGTAGTAGTAGTAGTAGTCGTCGTCGTTCTAGTAGTAGTAGTAGTAGTAGTAGTAGTAGTAGTAGAAGTAGTAGTAGTAGTAGTAGTAGTAGTAGTCGTAGTCGTAGTCGTAGTCGTAGTCGTAGTCGTAGTAGTAGTAGTAGTAGTAGTAGTAGTAGTAGAAGTAGTGGGAGCAGTAGCGGCAGCAGCAGCAGCATCGCCCGCCACCCGACTTCATAGAGATTTACACACCCTCGGAAACAATAGCAAAGAACTGGCTGCGATCGAAGGGACTCCTCTGTACCTGCTGCCTAGCACAACAACAGCAGAAAGACACGACGCTGAAGCAGCAACCTCAAGATTTCAGCGTATGTAGCACACGCCCGATGCGTCACCACTCCACATTAACACCAACACCCTGAACGTCCGGGACTCCGTGGCTGCTTTCTCAAGTGGCGTGGGCATGACTATGATCAGTCAAGACACGACGCGTCCCTCAACTCATCGCCGCGGAGACGGGCTCTAGCAACAAAGCTTAAGCCCGATGGCATGCGTGCAGAGAGAGGCTTGACGGCCAAAGCCCGTGGTTGCTGTCGAGACGGCGGGGTGTGTTGATGCAGATCTGAGACACTTGCATGTCGACTCTGTTGTCGTAGAGCTGCAGGCCTCGCCGTCTTCTTGCCATCAAGATGACTCGGACTTGCTGCGATGTCCTACCCTTTCACTGAAAAAAAGCTGGATTCCCTACCGGTTTTGCACGTGGCCGCGTGGACGAGTACGGGTTTGGTCTGGTCGCAAGCTTGCAGCCAATCAACTCCAGCTGTTAACGAGCTCAGGAAAGTCAAGTTGCGGCAGCAGCTGCGGAAAATCAGATTTACCCTTGCATCAGGCAGGCTAGTTCGTTCAGTGCTTGTTTCACAAGCATGAAAGGCAAAGGCACGATTCCCAGAGAAAAACAAACATTCCCTTCATTATCGGACAGCTGCTTCTGGTACTCCAGGCACTCCTTCCCGGATGCCTTCCAAGACCTTTTCCATCCAGGCATCGACGAAGTACTCGCACAGGTAAGAGCCTTGCATGCAGCAGTAGAGTACGAGCGCGAACTTCGTTCAAAGGAGAGAGAGGGAGAGAGAGAGAGAGAGAGAGAGAGAGAGAGAGCATGCAGGAAAGGCTCGATTGGTGGGTCGCGTGGTTCCGGCCACGTTGATGCTGTGCAGGCAGCCCTCCAATGTCAGCTGCTCTGCCCCCTGCAGGTGTGCCCAGTCCACTGGCACCAGGCCATCACCCGTAGCATTTCCGACTCCACCCAAAGCCACGTAACTGTTCCAGGCAGTCGACTCTGGAGAGGGTGACCTCACCAAGGCTCGCAAATTCTGAGAGGCGTCCTGTATACCGAATGCTATCAGAGCGGGGGAGCTGCGAGTCGCCTCTAGCAGCTAGCACCAGGCAGCACTTGTAGAATGCGGGGGGGACTTCGGAAACTTAGACATAAACAGAGATAGCATTGCATGCATGAGACTGGATGAGTTCCACGATCGGGATATTGCCCTCCATTTTCTGACCGGTGACGGCATCGCCTGCCACAGATACCTTCCGCAAGCCAGGATAATTTGGGACACTTTTGCGGATTAACTCCCTTACAGCATGTATTCCGACGAGGTGCATAGAAGAGATCATCCGAGTAGTATGCTCCAGGGTGTGCTTTGTTCAGATTGCGCAAGCAACCAAACCTGAGCACAGAGGCTTCAAATGTGGCTGCGATAGTCTCCCGGAAAAGTCCAGCAACAGACCCGACGCAGCATGGTCGAACATGTGATTCGGTCAGGGCAGATGCTGGTGGTGATATTGGCCGAGCCGCGTCATGTCCATCTTCCCCTTCGGGGGTGGGCGATGCGGAGTGCCAAGGGACACTAGGCCCTGCACATGCTTCAGCGCCCAGTCCTCACGTGTGGGAACGATGCATGCCCAAATGGGAGTTTCCGAAAATTAACGGTACCTTATTTTGGGGTCTTTATAGTAAGGATCCTACTATTTAGGGTGCTAAATAAAGGGTCCCCATTTTCGGAAAGGCCCTAAATTTCTCCAGAGTCGCCTTTCCCTCGCGATCGAGCAGAGCCCGAGCCAACCAGCCTCCAGCACTGTGGCCGATGAGGATGACGGGTTCGCCGCCGGAAAGCACCGTCTCTTCCACTTTCGCCTTGGCCAGATCCAAATACCAACCATAGGCTGTCCGGGCAGTTCCATTTCCTCGGAGAAGGCGCAAAAGGCAGTGGGAGCTGAGGAGCTAGAGCTCTCAAAAGTTCATGGCCTGGCATGTCCCTTCTGTCCTGCGCGGCTGTCAGCATCCAGCAGCAAGCCAGCGAAGACTTTCAGCCAGTCCGACCTCTGGACCGGCACGACTGAAGCCTGGACTCCACGCCGGCTGAGGCACGCCTGGAACAAGGCTGGCACCAGCAGGTCTACAATGTGCTTTTCAAGAAAAGAACAGAGAAAGGACTGCGACGAGGCCTGCAGGCCAACAGCCGCATCCTGGCCCAGTGGCTCCTTGATCATCCAAACAGGAACAAAGCAGGCCCCGCATAAGTCGCATAATTCAGGCACGCGGGGAAACAGTTATTCATCCGATGCGTGATAGTTTCTTGCAGTCAAAGGCTCAGCATAGTCAATGGCATCATTTCCGAAGCCCGGCAACAGGACCGCAGAGACCGATGTTTGTGCCAAGTGTTTCGGCTCGGGCGGCGGAGCGCCCAGAAGCTGGTCGGGCCAATGCTCCACTTCCTCACTGCTTGTCGGCTTCAGGAGCTGTCCCAGGGCCTCACCTGCAGGGATGTCCCACTTTTCGAAGTAGGATTGTATCCGGCCATCTTCACCTGGAGTGTAGCGAGTCTTGCCTCCAACATTAATGCGCGGAGACCAGGGAAGGTTTACCTTCCCAATCATAGTCCACTTGGCTACAACTTCACCCGACTCCTCGAGCTGAATATCGCGCAATCTGCACCTGCGCGTCTCCTTCGGAACCAGTGCATCCACAATGGGCTTCAAGTTGCGCATGTTGGATTCGAACTTGGACAAACCCTGAAACGAAATGGTCGGATCCGTGAAGCTGCAGGACTCGCCATAAAGCTCAGTGTCAATCTCGCCTGACCAGAGGTATTGCCGTTCTTCGAAATCCGCTCGGATGCCCTCCAACAGCTGCTCGGGAGAGATCGCATCGAATTCACGGGACCTCTCGCCGGCAACGGCTCCGTTCCCAAAGCTGTTGACAACATCTGTCAGGCCTGCCAAGCTCTGCCAGTACAGTACGAGTAAGAGTCATAAACGAAAACTTCGGATACCAATATGACCCGTGAATTTGCATGTTCCGTGGGCCTCCCACGACAGTCTTGGTCCAGTCAGGCGAAGACTCGTAAGATGACCTCTCGGGTTCAGCGCGTCTGGCACCACCTTCGGCCACAGCACAAGGGCTCGCACATGCACGTTCGCACAAACAATGCCACGCAAATAAGAAGGACAGACAGTAGGCAAGACTAGCGCACCCATTCGTTTCAACGACCTCGCTCCTTTGCTCAATTTGTTTAGCTTGCTTAGGCTTGGCCCTTCCTGAGGCAGCTTGCGGGTGATTGTCTAGTCGGCTAGGATAAACTACTTCAACCATTTAAAGCTCCCTGCATGCTACTCACTTCAAAGACTGTGCTTGTCTGAAATAGTCCACTTGCCTGACCTGCTTGCTTGGCCGGGCTGAGCCTTGACGCACCCGGCTGTACTGTGATCATTGTAGCTCGTGGACTCGAACCAGCTTGAGTACGGAAGAGACAGTAAACTGACGGTGAAGAACTTCGACTCGCACCATTCAGAATGTCAGACAATCCAGCCCACACGCCTCGGACATGCGGCCTTTTCACGCCCAAAGGCTGGCCGACAAAGCACAGGCTGCAGAACGCCCCGATGGCGACCCAGACAAAGGCTCCAGAGAAGCACACGGACCGAGCTCGCGCCATGATTCCAAATTCTGGGCAACAGGCTCGGCTGAGTGTAACAAGGGCAAGAATCAACCTCATGTAGTAACAAGTGACACGGTTGGAGTCGGCTAGAGGGTGAATGTGTAGATTCGGCTGATGCGGCGCCCGGTCGACACTTCGATGTGACTGGCAAGCATTGACGTCAATGTGCCATGTTGGTTGATTCTTAAATGCAGTTGTCTTGCAGAAATCTGGCAAAGTCAATGGCCTTCTACTTGTATGCGCTCCCGAGCTGCGCAGCTGATGAGGCGGCGAAGAGCCATGTCTCAATGTCATGCAAGTAGCGGGTCATCGATGCTCCAATGCCGAGAAGTTCGCCCGACAACAAGGTCGACAAGTATTCATGCTGAGCTGTGAGCTTGAACCACTGAAAAGGTTGCGACCCCCTCGAACTTCTGGGGCCATGTACAGCACCTTGGTGTATGGCTTGGCTTGCAGCCTGCAGTCTGTTCAATAGCGGCTGACGACCCATCTAAGAGCATTCAGGAGTCTCCGAGGCACACGCAGTGCCAACCTGAGCCGAAGCGGAGGGTTTAGGGTTTAGGGTTGGCAGAGGGCCTTGACTAGAATGTGCCCTCTCTCTCGGCTTGCAAGTGTGCGCACTTGTCCTGAGATACCTGCTCCTGTCGACTGTTGCCGAGCTGCACCTCCAAGGCCCCAATGCCGCGAGGCAGTTCATCCACACAAATGACCCACTGGTGGCTAGGCGAGCTAGGCCAAATGCCCAAAACCACCCGGTAACCCCACTGTATCACGACTCGTCCCATTGTCCGATTGTCCAAGGCGTTTCCGACAGCGGTGGTGGTGCTGCTGTTGCTCTTGCTTCTGCCGCTGCTGGTGCTGGTGCTGGGAATCCCACCGTCGTTAATTGCGGCGAAGCAAACAATAACAATGACAGGAGGAAGAGTGAGGGAGAGGGAAAGGGAGGAGGCAACCTTGGCAAATGCATAAATGCGCTGAAGCCGACCTGGGGTACGGCGACGCTGGCACGCAGTTCAACCCCGCGCTGGAATCTCGATTTGGTATTCAGGAAGTCCCGACGATTCTCACATATGGGTGCTACATGGTGCTGCCTTGTCAGCTCCATGAGCTTCTCGATGCGTGCACATGATTTGACACCCGAGTGTAGGTATACCGCCTAGTACGGATGATGCCTTCCATGCCTCGGGGGAAAAGTCGTGAAGTCGTGCAGATGAACCGAAAGAACACATCTGCATCTTTACACAAAGCCAAGATCTTGCCTGAGATTGTCGGATCGCCTCCGGCAGGCTCGAGGCTAGCCTTGGCTACACATCAGATGGATATCGACAACAGAGTCGCGGCGACATCGACAATGAAGAGAGCAAAAATGAACGACAGCTTACCCAAAGCATGAACAGGCAGCAACCACAACCACAAGCACACACCAACACCAACGCCAACAACAACACCAACAGCGACAAGAGTTTGACGCTGAGCGAGCGGGCTCTGCTCATGGCGCATCAGAAACTTCGTGCCGTAGGCCAGCGCCGCCCCTTAGTAGCTGCTTTGCCGACATTCCAATAAAGGTAAAGCGGCCTTAAAGTTTCTTACAGAGGTTGTGGCGGTGCGAAGGGAGTGCGCTGCGATCATCGCAGGTACCTCCTTCATCCGAGCAATGAGCGAACCTCCTTTTGCTCCGAGGCCTCGGGCTAGCCAACAACTTAGAACAGAAGCACAGAGACCGAGCTAAAGGAACAGAGAAGGCCGCTCAAGCCCCATAGGATCAGCAGGAAGGAAAACGAAGAACCTCTGCTAGAAAAGTTTAAAAGAAAAGGGCCTGAGTAAATCCAGTGTCACTGCATACTGCACTGTACAGTGCAGGGGCAGCTCTTCAGCACTCGCTTCAAGGAGGCAGGTCACTTGACATTGCTATCAATTCCCAAAGACGGTGCCTTGGTTTTGGCACAAGCGGTGCTCGCGCTGCAGCGTCTGCACACTCAAATCCTCATGTGACATCTAGACTCACAAGATCTATATGTCTTGTATCCTCCGCCACCTTCAATGTGAGTCATTGCGTCCAATACTCACGAACTGGCAGCCGGCGGGTCGTACTCCGAAGAGCCGTCTCCCCGAGTTCACTAGGTAACTCCGGACTACCAGCGATGGGCCGTAAGGATGGTTCGTCGTGAAGGCTCGTGAGCCGTCACTCCTGGCATTGCCTGACCCCGTCGGTAACAGGACAGTAACGAACACATCTGCAAGGGCCGTAGCCGAAGCCCGACACCCATGGGCCAGCATTGGGAGGATGCTGACGAGCTGCAAGCCGCAAAGCGGGGCACCCATCCTCTCCCGTGTCTGGCTTGTTCCCAGGCGCTGGCATCTTTACAGCAGCTGACGCGCAAAAGGCTTTCAAAAGTGAAGGAGGAACTCGATCGCACTGGCTTTGTCGCAGCCGGTGGCAGTCTACCCTGGCTTTGGACAAAAGTGGAGTTTCCGAAGCAGACTGCATGGAAAAGCACAGACGACCCGGGTCCTTCTTGTCAGAGAGTGTTCGTACAAGCGCAAAACCAATGTGCCAGCAAAAACTGCGCAGAAAAGACCTTCAGCTGTCCCTGGGTATCTTGTCCAGAAGTTGAAGAGTCGCCGAAAGGCAAGGAACGAGGCCTCGTCTCCAAAGCTTCCTTCAAGGTACCCAAAAAGCGAAGGTGGTAGAAAAACACTGAGGCACAGTCGGCGCGCCATCCGCTAGTGTCGCAACACCTGGTGTAAAACCAAATACTGCTCCCTCCACCACGCGGAAAGGTGGAAACCCTACCGCTTACCTCCAGCTTATCCAGAACTTGCTGTAGCGGGAGGCCCGGGAATTGGGACCCGGCAGTCCACAGAGGCACGAAGCTCCGAGGCACACTCAAATGGCTCAGGCAGAAGGACGTCCCTTACATTTCGCAAAGGAGCCTGTTGCAAACCCTTTAGATTATAGTTGCGGCCGAAGCCCAGTCAGCACATCTAAGATGCCATCTGTGAACCGTAGCTAGCAGCGGCTCCAACAGCGACAACAACAACAAAACGACAACGACCAAGTGGTTCAAGCACTGCAAGATTTGCACCCTTAGCAACAGAACGCAATCAGAACTGGCACGAACTGACTCCATTGGCATCTGAGCAGCCAATTCTGTGGAAAGGCCGAAGTCGCCGAGCTTGGCGTGGCCACCTTCGGCCTTCGAGAGGAAGATATTCGGCCTCGAGCTGGCAGCCAGGAACGCCAATTGCGGAAACCTCATGCAACCGTGTAACCTGTCTCGCCTTGGAAAGCTGTGCGTGAAAGCTTGCAAAGTTTACTGGGGGGTCAGAGCTTGGAAATGCTTGGATAGTCGAAGACGGTGCGCACCATCTTTTTGCGGATGTGGGTCGGGTCGCATGCACTGCGAGAAACGGGAGCTGCAAACAGACACACGAGAGATCTGCCACAATTCCTGGCTGCCCAGGAAGGCGAAGACCTGTTTAATGGCAGACTCCTCCGGATTGACTTCCCCTCACCGCAAGGCACCAACGCACCAATTGGCGCCGGGGTTTCATTGAGAAAAAGTTGTCGTACAGCGGCTATGTGGGTGTTTCACACCGTGCCGGTCTCTGAAAGCTGCAGTGCCGAACCGCTTTAAACCTGGAGTCCAGCCTTTTCAAAGGTAGAAGCTGGAAATCTGTATGAGGTAGGTTAGAAACAAGACAAACAGGCTGTCGGTTGGCATTGAAGACCCGTCAACACACAGTCGTCTTCCCATCTGTGCGGAAGAGGGGGATCGCAGAGCCGATGGAAGAGATGCCAGTCTTGATCGTTCCTCGGATTACAGTCTCAGTATGTTGACTGCTCGTCTCTTGGGTGACATCATAGCTTGTTGGCGAGTTGCCTTTCTCGGAGCCTTCCTCCCTCGCCTCGCAGGCAAAATGGTGGCGAATCAGAGCACGGATCAGTTCTCAAGTATTGGCTAGAGGATGAGGTTACCGGGCGGGGGCAATGAATTTCGATACATGTGCCTCTGCAACAGCCATGGCTGCGACGCTCGCGGCGAAGTTTGGCGGAAGCCTGCCCACTGTCAACGGCAACAGCTAAACGAGCCAGCATCACGATCATAGCGTTGTCATGGCAGACACGGCCAATTTCACTACCACAGGACTGACTGCAAGATTGGCTTACAGCTTACTACCAAAACCCCCGCATGCCGATGCACCTTGTACTGCTGGAGGGAGCCTGTACAGCAGCCATGTCTCTCGATTTGCCAAGTGCTTGCTGCACTGCAGCACATTCTGTTCAAGGTCACAGTTCAGACCCCCGCACCAAGAGACCACGGTCTCTCAGCATTGTAGCTATTCCCGGGCCCGCCGGTTTCTTCTCTCATTCAAAGGACCATATGTGTCCGCATGGCATTGGAAAGGATGCACTCGATGCTTGCTTCTATATACACGCCTTCATTCCAGCACTGTTTGGAAAGGCCAGCGGAACTCCGAAGAGATGCTCTTGCAGCGACTGGTGGTGGACTACTCACCGGAGCCTTATTGCGCTTTCGGGCCTGCTGTCTTCGCTGCACTAACTTGACCCCAACATGTTGCGTCATCGCACCCAATGCCACAGCGCCGGCACCACCTCCCTGCCCCTTCCTGTGGGGGGGGGAGGGAGAAGTGGGGGTGACTGGCGGATGGCAAAATCCGGTCAGTTCACAAGTGGACGACACTCGTTCCACTCAGGGCAGCATTCGTCAATTTGCATGCGTGCCTCATCAGCAATTCAAAGACGATTGAGGATACGAGAATTCGGCCAATTAGTTCGCAATCGTAAAACTTTCTAGCACTAAGACCAGACACGTGCCCTGCCTGCAAGACTGGCTCAGACTCCGTGCTTTGAAGAAGGGCGATGTCCTCGGAGGCTCCAGTCTTGACATGTCCCGAATTCTTCTTCTACTTGATTGTGGGGTGGAAAGCATCTTCACATCCCACTGTTGCCACGTCAGCTACGGATGTACAAAGGCTTGACTGCCTGACAGAAGAAGCCGGATTGGCAACACGGAAAGGGGTTCAGAACAAACCAGGTTGAGGCAGCAAGTACCATGCAGCTCTCGATGCTTGGTGCAATTGGTGTAGTTGCGGCCGCCTGAGCGTCTGGCTAATTGCCTCGAGCCCCATACGCATCGTGAGACAAAAACCAGTGCTTGAACTTGTCCCCCGTGTGACATCCTGGCATGTCCGGCAAGACGCAGATATATGGGTGGCTGTCAAAATTATGGTCCCTTTTTTGGTCCTTCATATACTACGGCACCTAGCATTTCGGCGCTCACACTCGGACAATCCAGGCGAGGCATGTGGTTCGAGGTCTGCTGAGTGAGACTGAACTAATCTGGGAGGTGTCTGTCAATAGCTTTCCTGTCACATCCAAGACCACCTAACATTTAGCGTTCCCGAAAAGCGGCCATAATTTTGACAACTACCCCTATAGGTCGAGGCAGCTAGAGTCCGAAGCATCTTCTTTCAAACAGTCTTTTCTGGACCATCCGGGGTTGACCACCCAGATTCCGCGAGCCTTAGCAGCGCCGCCACCTGTGCTCAGCCGGTTTACACCGAGAGTTGCGCTTCGGTTTCCGGCAAATGCATAAGCTCTATGGGAGTTTCCGAAAATAGGGACCTTAATATAGTACCCTAGATAATAGGATCCTTATTATAAGGATCCCTAAATGAGGTATCCCTAAGTTTAAAGGAAACTCTCATATAGTGGAATTGGCTCGACGGCTGTCTACGCAGAGCCAAGAGCCAAAGACTGACTGTCCAGCTACACGGAGGAACACACCTTCCGGGTGGAGAAGTGGGGATCCACATCGACCAGACGTGCCGCAGACCGGAGGGCTTCTCGAGACCTCAAGGCGCTGGACAGCCTCGTGCGCTTCATCTGAAACCTGCTGACGCTTTGCTGAGAGAGGCCACTGATCAGTTGCCACCACTCCATCCAGAAAGCGACTCCCTGCCATCTCGCCTCGCCGACACCGCGGGGCTGCAGCGATGACAGGGTGACAGAAGCAACGTGCAAGAACCCATCACTACATGTACAGCGAAGGGTGATTTGCCATCTGGCATGTTCCCCCTGCATCTGCCGAGTTGTGCTCCTTTTTGTGCTAGATGGATTCAGCTTTACACAGCTTGGCCAAGCCGACTGGCTACTGCGGCGCTAGAAACGAAAAACCTTGCATGAGAATGGGCACGGCACATGGCACAACGCGCAACGCACCTCCAAACCAGTGATTCTGCATGGCCCGAGCGGCCTCAGTGTGCCACAGGGGAAGAACAATCATACTCGTCAACAACACAACAACAAAGCCATATGCTGTGGGCATGCTGGAAGCACAACTTGCGTGACAAAGCTCGCTAAGCCCCAATGTGATTCTGAAATTGCTGCATGCGCGGCTTCTGTCGACGGCTGCATGACGGTCCAGTGCTCGTCCACGCACACTCTCCAATCAATCATTGCCTGGGCCACGTGACTAAGAAGGGTAACTACCAATGTCTACTCGGACTCGGATGCATTGTATCTGAATGCACATCATGTCTTAGCAGCTCCGTCGGTACCCTTGCTTTGAGCAGCGAGCGCTCTGAATCTGCAAGTTGCCCAAGCTGCTTAAGAATTTCCTCGGACAAGGTCAGTTCGCTGGTGCTGGCAACATATCTCAAACCGCTGCTTCAAACATGCCACGACAGGAGAGCTTTGCGCTCCCAGTGTAGCTATCTGTCCACGGAATGTGGCATCAGCGTTGCTCTTCAATTTCCGGGTGCAGACAAAGCAACTGGAAAACGGGGCCGCAGAAACATAGCGACAATGAGATGCCTTTTGCGATGACGTCCAGGAAGGTGTAGCCCAGGACCTGGCAGCCATCCGCTCTTCCAACTTCTGACGTCTTTGGCATACCAACAATGAGGAAAGATAATCGAAGGAACGAAACACATGAAAAAATGCGTGGGCGAAAGCGAGAATCCTACACTCGGCGAGAGAAGGTCCGCCAGTCAAACTTGAAACTTCAGGCCATGGGACACATCGCGAAACAACAACATTACAATCATAAATGCTCACGCGCTCCGCGGGGGCCCCTGCATATTCTATGGTCCAGGATGCACCCCACTCCCCCTCTGTGGGATGGGGTGTGGGGTCCCTCTTCCTCCTGTGGGGTGGTTGTGGGGTCTTGTGGCTTTGGGTTTACTTAAGCTTTTGAGTTTGGGGTTAGGGTTAAGACTAAGAGGTATAAGACTTCGAGTCGACTAAGCGCTTAGCGAGGGTTTGGGGTGTAGGTTCGTTAGGGTCGACGGTTTATGTTCTGCTTTAGGCCTAGAGCCTGCGTGTCGGCGGGGTTTAGGGTTGGGTGTAGGGTTTTAAGTAAAGGCTAAGGTTAATAAAAACAGGAGCACGCGCAACTGCGCTACATCATAGGGTTTATGGCTTGCATGGGGCTTGCGTACGATCCAGTCCAGCTCCAACGGCCCCGACCCCTCTCCGCACACGCCACCCCCCCCCACCCCTGCCAGACCATACCATTGGGGGTGGGAACGCCAGACGCCTGACCATATGTCGCAGACAGTCATTTAAAGTTGCTCCATAATCGAGGGCCAGTGGGCTAATTCTCTCCTTCACCCCCAAGGATACGCCTGTGTAACACATTGCCCGGCATGCGCTTGGCATAGTCCACACACTTACGTCTCAGGTGGGCCTGCTCTTGCCACAATGTCATGATACCGAAGCTGCGAAGCAAATGACATGCCTCACAGTCAGTGCTTGGAATTGCGCCGCGACACGTTAAGTCCCACATCTCTGAGGAGGCAGCCGGATACATCATCCACAAAATGACAGCAAATCTCGGTCAGCGGAGAACACAGGTCCAGTCAGAGTCCGGCCCATGATTTTGGCACAGATTTTTCTTCTGCTTTTGCCGAGGATCCTTCGATATTTTCTAGCCAGCTGCGCACATCCTGGCTCAAGCCTTGGGTTAACGGCTAGCCCCATCGCTGCTTGCCCGGCTTGAAATGTTTTGCCACAGCTTCGACCTGTCTGATGGCAGGCCAGGGCACGGCAACTGCGAGACCTGCACAGCATACCCAACTTCTGTTTGGATGTCGATTCTGATGTGGCGGAACATCGGGCATCCAACATCTACACCCGTCCAGCCTTTCGGAACATGAGCGCGAAGCACGTGCAGGAAGCAATGAAGAAAGGC